CTAGCATTGGCTATTAAGGAGTTCTCACTTTTTATCGCTTTATAAGGAAAAAAAAACAGCTCAGTTTATCTTTTGCTTATTTTCTGGAGCCTGCAGGAAGCCTCTGCCGTCCTAAAGAAAGTCACACATAATAGAGCAGCTTTAGCGCAGTAAGCCAGTCTTTCCCAATTCATCAGTCAAAGTGTTATGCAAGTGGCCCCCTAAATTGATAAATTCCCACAGTGCCTGTTGACCCAGCTGCCAAGTGCTCATGCAGCAGGTGTTGTTTTCATGACCACCCTGACAGTAATACAAACTGTTTAGCAGTTGCATTGACCTCTTAGCTATTAACATTGATACAGGCTTCACTAGGGACTAGTTTTCAAACATGACAGAATTTCTTAAGACTAGAGGTCATGAACAAGTATACCATATAAGAATAAATTTGATATGCTGCTGAGTTTAAATCTTAAAAGCCATGAGTTTTTTCCACATTATTCCCATGTAGTAAATCTGGAGACAAGTAACGAGCTTTTGGCATCTCTCCCAGGACTAAAGGTATACTTTTTAATTTTAGAAGCTGTACCTGAAGAGATGCTATATTTATTCCATGACAAGCAGTAAATTTAGTCTATGACAAGGAGTGAAACAAAATTATTTTTTCTTGACATTTTCCCTTATAAAGGAAAAAAACCCAACAACTAATGCACGAATTTTGGTGATATACTTTAAGATCATTCTAATGCCTAATATCTTCTGTGCAGGTAATTGAAGCATAACATTCCATATATTTTGTATCACAGTCAGGATTTCTACGGCAGTGTGTCTCGTCTGAATCTGAACATCCAGGAATTTTGTCCGGGTTTTTGGTTTTTTCCTCACTTCAGTGGAGAAGGAGAGATTTTGATATTGTGTCAAAAGCATGGTGAAGGAATAGCTTTCTGTTCAGTACCATTGTTTTACTGCTGAATTTGGCCCTCCATTTGCATCTGAGTTACAAATAGCACATATAGCAACTAAACCACTCCGTGCATTTTTGTGGAGAGAAGCGCTAAAGAAAGCACGAAATCCTGAGCAACACCAGGATGAGTTTTAATCTATTAAAGCATGTTAGACTTTTATATGCCTCTAAACTAACAGTAGAGGCTACTTTCTTATATTAGCTACGGTAAGGCAGCAAAAATTTCTTTACTCATTGTAGAGTCAAGAATTCCCAGCTCGCTGCACACGTCAGCAAAGGGCCCCAGCCCCCAGTACAACTTTTCCTCCATGTTCCATACATTTAGAGTTGTTATACAGTTTCATGAAAGCCTGTTTTAACAAGCAAGATATACTGTACTGTACTGTATATATGAACAGCTCTTTAAGATAACTAGAATTGTACAGACCATATAAATAGTCATTATCAGCTACATTTTTGGCTGACTTTCTGTGGACCAAATAGTGCTTACTGTAAGAGTAATCAAGCTGTACCCTTTAGAGTTTTATAGATTGGGGAATACAAGGAAAAAAATTCTCTCCAGCCTAGAGTGTGGCTCCATCTATTCCCCTCCATTTTCCACATCAAGAGACACAGCGAAGCACTGGTTATATAAACAAAATCATAGGCTTGTCTAAGTGCAGGAAAGATCAAGTCCCAACAGCCCGTTTCGAGACTTATGTTACCTTCGTGAAATTCAGTTCAACTTGTGCTGAGACTGAAAATTTCCACCCCTTTCAAGCCTTAAAAAATGCAAAGTGTAAGTACTGAGGGGCAGAGACTTTCTCTCCACACACGCTGGTCCCATAACAGCATTCGAATCCTGAGAAAGTGTGGCTTTTCCTGTAGCACAGCTAAGGAAACCCAGCAATTCTCACACACAAGAAGGATTCTGCTGCAGCTGCATTTGTATTTCTCTTCTCCTAAGGCACTCTGCCAACCACAATTTTTTCCATCTTTGTTTCTACTCCACCCCACCATTAATAAATATTATCCAAGGCTGATGAGTACAAGTTATTGATTGATGGTAGAATAAAAGGCAAGGTTATATTCACAAGTACCAAGAGCAGTAGAAAATTTTAAATTATAAAAGTGACCAGCCATACTTGGCTGGATACAAAAAAAGCGTGATTTCTGCCTTCCTATCACATACAAAAAGAACCATATATTCCAGCATTATCATAGATAAATACTTTACATCTCTTAATAAAATAAATCATTATGTATACAAATAAAATATCTTTGTCATTCTCTGCTAAAGATTTGCCACTGGAGCTTGTTTCCAAGATATGCTCCAGGAGCCTGAGGTTATACTTCCTGCTAAACACAGCACTCTACTTGTGTTTGAGCAAGAAGAAGAGAAGACTCCCATTTAAAATAACTTGAAATACATGGGCTTTAATAGCGCCAGATGAAGAAAGAATCTTGCCTCCTATGCAGTTGGCTATAAAGAAATCATCTCAAATATAGATTTATTTTTTTTTTTGCCTCAGACATAGGAATGAGAAAACAGATCTTTTTCCTTTAAATCTGAACAAGTCTCCACTGAAAATCATATAATTTTGTAGAACAGTTTCCAAAATATCATTGCTTGTGAATATTGCATATAATTTTTAAGTGTAGGAACTTTTTTGACCAGATCATGTGTAACACACTCATTACTACAGAACTGGAATTCCTTACAGGTCAAAAAAATAATGCATTATATTTAAAAGACAGCTGTGGAAATATGTAAACACTAAACCTGAAAGGGTTTCAAATATGCTGTACCAAAGGTGTCAAAACATGTTTCAAAGCCCTTAAATAATACAGGACCTTCAGTGATTCTCAGAAATGGTTTGGAAATCAGAACTTAGTGCCACGCTAAAGATTCATCTACACATTCTTTCTGCCCTTAACATCTTTGGGGAACCAGTTCCTCTGTATGAATGTTTAAATAATCATGGTAGTAATTAAGATTGAGCAGAGAAAGTGCTATGGTGAAACAAACCAGTGAGCCTGTACTCTATTAGTCTTTCTCAAAGAAAAATGCAAGAAATCCTGTAGTGTACAGTTAGGAAGCTGCATGCCAAACTGGGAGGGGGAAATAAGCCCAGTCAGCTAGTGAGGGACTTCGATGACATTAGGTATGAATGCTTATTTTTCTTAAAAATTATTTTTACTCTATCTAATATTACTTTGAATGGCCCCATTGTGCATAGAAATATCTTTTCAAAATCCTACTAGAACATGGGCTTCATTGATATTTTAGAAGCTATGAGTTCAACTAGTTAATTTTATTTTCTTTAGCTTAATTTTTTCCCCTTGATATTTCTTCTGATGTTGAAATGGGGGATAAACAAGAATGCCCAATTTTCCTCCTCTTTTTTTTTTCTGTCACAGTTTTCTGCACCTCCATCATACTCATTCTTTGTCAGACTCCAAAAACTATTCTTTTCTCCACACAAGAGTATCAGTCTAGGATTTTAATATTTGACAGGGTAATCAGGGCACAAGTTGCTATTCCAGCTATTTGCACATAATTGGGGGTGTAATACTGATGTTAGTATTGTGAACAATGTTATTTTCTATTCTGTCTAATACAATTTTGGTTTGGTTTGTTTGGATTCCAGCTGGACACTTAGCCAAGCTTTCTCAAAGCTCTCCAGAAAAGTATTAGAATCTTTGTCCTGCAAATATCAAGCTTAGGAATGTATGCCAGTAGTTCAGATTTTTTTCCTCGAGAATGAGTAATTTTGTATTTGTCACTAATTAATTTAATTTACCATGATGCTCCAATTCAATTACTTGATTAGAACACTTGGGAGATCCTGACATTCTTTTCTAAACTTATTCCTGTGCAATGAAGCCTACAGCAGAGACAGAACACGGTACTTCTACTGGGAAACTGTAGCCTTGTGATGATCCTGTCAGTCTCTATCTGCTGAATTCAGACAGCAAATGTCAGTATGATGACACACAGCTAAATTTAAAACCAAACAAACAGTAAATATCTAAAAAAAACATAGTAAAAAATCAACAGTTAGGGCACACTTAAGTTAAAACACTTAAATCTTTGACACACTTGACACTGCAGAAGGAACACCACAATTACTCCTTTGTTAAGGAAGATAATGCTGTTCTTTTGTAAACAAAATAAAAGGCTACTGGATATCCAAAATATTTTGTAGAGTGGCAGAAACAGTTGCATTACATAAGACTTGACAACAAGAAGCCCAACAAAAAAAACCCAACATCTGCAATATTTGAAGTCAGCTGAACTAGAATTTCCTTTGTGCGTACATTTTACAGAATCACCTACAGAAAGGCTGAGTTTGGAAGGGACCTCTGGAGTCCAGCCCAGGGCTCAAGCAGGGACACCTGCATCCAGTTTCCCAGGACAATGTCCAGACAGCTTCTGAGTATGTCCAGTGATGGAGACTCCACAACCTCTCTGGGCAACCTGTGCAAGCGCTTGGCCACTCTCATAGTGAAAAAGTCTTTCCTGATGTTCAGGTGCTTAAATAAGCATCCCAAATGCATAATCCAAATATGATTCCATGAAAATATGGAAACAAAAAGCCAGCAGAGTAAAACTGAATTTGTAGGCAGAGGTAATACTTTTGCAGAATTATTATACATGTCCTAATGTGTGACATAAAACTTGTTCAGGTTAGTCTTCCCAGCATAAAATGGGGAAGTCTGAATCAGCTAGAAACACAAAAAGACACCATCAGATGCTGCCTGTGATAAGCTCTTCAGCAAGCTAATTTTGCCAGGTTCATGCTTCAGGAATTCTCAAGGACTATTATTCAACCTTGTAGAAGATCTCTGAAGGCAGTTATATGAAATGATAGCAAATAGCACTGTATTTTTCTGTAATGTAACGTATCATCTCTATGCTTATTGGTTTTTCTGAGGAAAAGCGCGATCCCCTTAGCACACAATTTCTCCCACTGCTAGTACCAGAACAGAGAATCAGGTCTTTAAAAAAAAATACCGAAATTTTTTCTCGTTGACCCTGATTTTTAACTGTTTGCTTGGTTTGTATATTTTTATTCAGGCCTTTAGTCCCTGAAGAATGCAAAAGAATGGCTCAGCCTGCACAGATACTGACGTCTGAATGCTCAAGGCATTGTCGGAATGGGCACTGCACTCCCACAGGAAAATGCTGCTGTAATCAAGGCTGGGAAGGAGATTTCTGCAGAACTGGTTTGTATATAGATTCATAGCAACAAGGGAAAAAAGCAGTGACATGTCATAATTTGCTTTCAGTTATTTTTTTCAGAGAAGTTTTAAGTACAGAATGCAATTAATAGCATAAATATGACATACAACAGTATTCTTATTTGTTCCACCAAGACTGTAAAATGAAAGGAAGTCAATACACATTCCTTGTTTGGACATTCAACTTCCACTTGCAGTATTATCACTGTCAGTGTCAAACAGGGGTACCTTGTCAGGAAAGATGGTAAATAAGAACTTGAAAAGTTTAGTTTTGGTACTTTTTTGATTTTGATCCTACAAAATGAAATGGCTCCAGTTTGTTAAAGAGGATTCTATGTACAACTTACCACAAAGGAGAACACTGTTGTGATCCCTTATTACAGTGATTTCATTAAGTCTTGTTGCTTTAGCTTTTAAAAGTCACTTGAAGAAACTGTGGTCAAAGTAGATGTTGGGTGCACCAGCCAAGGGGTGAGGTGAATGAACCTGGAGTGCCACAGCTGTGCTATCACTGCCCCACAGAGGCTGTGGTTATGTCTGAGCTGTACAATAACATAATGGCAGCAGAACTCAAAGGAGAGTCAGGAACAAGGATCCCACAATGGACCAGGGATAATTCCAGTTGGAAGGGCACTCAGGAGGGCCCTGGTGAAGCAGGGTCAGCTATGAAGTCCTTAAAGCCTCGAGTGCAAATTTCAGCAACCTCCAGAGTTTTAGTGATGAGCAGGAGTGACTTTGGAATGAAATGAAATTCATGAAATCACAAATGATGGATCTTAGGGCAAGAATCATGAGCTGCCCATCATACAACCCTGCAACAAAAGCAGGTTGGAGAAATTGTCCAACCTTCAATTGTCCTCACTTGTCAGAGCTTTCCTACATTCAGAAAATGAGGCCCATTCTACAGCCTTAAGTGGAACTTAAAGTAAAAAATGCCTCCAATGTGAGCATAAATGGGTCTTGAGTAATCTGTTTTGTTTAAAAAAATACAGGTTTATGGTAGGTAATTTGATGGACACAATGAACAAGAAAGGTACAGAAAACATGTAGAATGAGGATCTTTCTTTCCTGTATTCTATGCAACATTTAACAGAGATGGTCTAAGTTGGACCTCAAGCCACTATTATAATTGAAATAAGAAAAATTACCCTACGAGATATCAGTTTTGTTCTAGTGTCATTAAGAAGCATGTGGATAAAATTAAGAAACCTGTATTTATATAGTGTATTATAAATATCTGTAAATCTATATTACAGTTTATTGTAATAGATAACACTAAACAGCATAATGCCTGCAAAAAAGAAAGAAAGATACATTGTATATATCACAGTGCTATGACTCTACTCCAGAAGAAAATACCTCCACAACTAAAGTTATTATTAGTTTTGCTAACACTGGCTACAATTTAAAATAGCAGTTATATTTGAAAAGCTGAAGCAAGCTGATTAACAGAGAACTCGATAGGTAAATCATCTGTTAAAGAGAGAGGGGAAAACTTTAAAACCTATATAACTGATAAAAACTGTTGAAAAAATAACTCTGGCTCTTTTTTCACTAAATGGAATTTAATCCTGGTCCCAGGGTTAAGTGATGCAAGAGCCAAGGGAGTGCATCTCTGCTCAGTTTTAATCTGTTCTGCTAAGGAAAGAGTGGAGTGCAGAACTCTGTGTGGACAAAGGAGTTTACCTGAGATTCAGCACTTGCTGACTTGGAGATGGCCAGGTGCTAAAATGTCTCACCAACTTCAGGACTTCTTTGGGATGGCAGCATAAGAAATGGAATGAGGTAGACCACCACTGGTCTAGATCTAGGTGTGATGTGTATCTTGTTTTCAAATTATAAGATATGTGGAGCCTGAAGTCTTTTGAAATAGGTTCTCTATTCACTCCAATATCCAGTCCGAATATGGGAATTGGACATTTAAAAAATATCTGTTATTTATCAGTCTTTCATAGGTGATGTCCACTCAGACATACAAAATTACTTCCTCCCCCTAATATTTTAGAACTTTTAAAAATATGCTTTCACAACTTCTAATATTTCATTTTTTCTATTTTGTTTTTAATTTATATGCTTGCTTCATCACGACAAGGCTAGAATGTGTAACTGCATCTTTTCAGTTTGTGATGTTCTAAACAAATCAGAAAAATCACTGGGTTTTTTTCCCCACAGCAAAATGTGACCCTGCCTGTCGACATGGAGGTGTCTGTGTAAGGCCTAATAAATGCTTATGTAAAAAAGGCTATCTCGGCCCCCAGTGTGAACAAGTGGATAGAAGCATCCGAAGAGTGACAAGGGCAGGTATTCTTGATCAGATCCTAGACATGACATCCTATTTGCTGGATCTAACCAGCTATATTGTATAGTTCCTGGGACTGTTTGGAAACTACACTCTCAACGGGCATTTGTTTTGAATCCTGTCATTTTTAAAAGACTCTTATCCTGCAGCAAATACCGGTGATTTGAGTTACTTTATTAATTTAAGTATAATATCCACAAATGTGCAGAAAAATTCCTCGTATGTGTGTAAATATTCCTGTACGTCTCCACAGACGTCCCGATACCCAATATGTGCACACATACCCCATGCACACGCGCTACCACAAATACGGTTGTGCAGAGAGTGGAATCTTTTTTAATATTTATTTCTTCATGAGAAATAGTTTACAAAGCAATTCCACTGTAAAACACATTTTCGTCACAGGACTTCCCTGATGTCTTAATGGATTCTTTGATATCCCAGCAATCTCGTGTCTGTACTTATCTGATTAGAGCGGTGAGGAAGCAGTTTTCAAACATCGCCGTATAAACTGCTGGACTTAATAAAATCCAGTTGTAACAGTTTCTAAGGTGAACTGAACTACATCATGAGACAATATTTCAGAACTGCTTAATGCATTCCTATCTAGGCAATTCATTGTAAGACTGTAACCTTCACTTTCATCAATGTAACTCTATTACAGAATGTTACGCATTTCTTTATCTAGCATAGATGCAAAAATCTGGTTATCGCAGCTTAATATCAAGATTGTTTCAAGTGTTTAATAATTAAATTATATTCGCATATTTCAAAACCAGTCATCCTAGAAGGTCTGCTTTTTATCATATATTTTATTTAACGGTGGGCACTGGGTTCATGTTACATATTTATATTATTTTATTTTATTTTTATAATATAGACATCACCTAGATGAGACAGCTTTACCATGTCCTGTAAAATACTAAAGTTACATTTTTCACCAACTTAATTGGAAAGACGGGGAAAGAGAGAGCAAACACACACACTTTAATGTGTTGTGGATCTAATCTAGAAATGTATCCTTGTGTCAACTTGTGTTCATTTACGACGGATGAGAAAAAAAACCAACCGCCAACCAATCACAATAAAATTTCAGCATGTGTTAAAAGTGTCCATAAAGTGGTTTTCACTGTAACAGGACAGTGTAAGAGGTTATGCAAGCAGGCTGCTGCCAGTGTCACACTGAACAGAACGTCCCTGGCCGGGAGCTCACACGAGCACGTGCTGCCTGTGCACGGCGGCACTTGTACAAATCGTAGAGTGATTCTTGCCAAATGTGGTTCTAAATGTAAATGTTCCTTCAAGAGCTAACACAAAACTGAGTCTTTGTAAATGTATCAATAAATATGGTGTACATGCTATAGTCAGGTTTTCTAAGGTATTAAGAGTGTAATTACATGTATATGCAGAACTGGTACCCTCTCATCTCCAGCTCTAGGGTATTATTGGCAGTTTCTTTGCTCACTACTTACCATCTATCAGGTTTCCTTTGCACTATCTGGCTTTTATAAAATCTTGCCTAAGACAAGAAAACAAAATTGCCACAGTGTGCACATCCTGTGGTCCTTACAAGCAGCTGCTCATGCATCAACAATTGACAACACTTTAGTCAATGAGATCTAAAAGACTGTAGCCATATTACTCTCCAGTAGCAAAATTACCTCTCCAGGGCAGCAACATGCAACAAATTTTCCTTTATAGAAATTTGTCAGTCTTCATTTAGTAGGCATTAAATCTGAAATTACAGAGCGACTGATACTTGCATTTCTGTGTCTTACACATTCCAGCTCAGAGGAACAGAAAATTACATTTGCCTTCCATATATGTTTGCCTGGGTTTCGAGTGACCTCATGCCACATGGAAATTGGTTGAGAAATCTTGGTTAAGTGCTCAGAGAACAATGGTCTGCATTAAAAAGTGCATGCATAATTTTGCACAATGTAGATTCAACTGACAGTCCATTGAAAGACATCTTGGGATTAAATGAGCATGAAGACCAAATTGCCCTCTCACCCCAGAAAAGGGTGGTCCCTTATAGTCACACGAACACTTCATTGGCTAAGCAGTGTGACCAATCTTAAAATGAACCCTGTGGTAGCATCTGTAGGTTAATAGCAGCTCTTTGTCTCCGCTGCTTTCTGCCTTTAGTCTTTTCCCTGAATTCCATCACAAAAAGTTTTACAATTAAAAAATGTCCTGACAACCATTTTTGTAAATTGACCTTAGCATCTAATCTTTCCTTATTCAACGTGGGTGACAAAAATGTGAACTTCTCCTGAATGAGCCAGCTGTCTAAATCTGTCACATAGCGCGGTTTTATTACACTCTTCATAATCAGCAAAGCAAGAAAGTCGCTGAAGTATTTTAGCAACGTTTAAATATCTGACAGAGATAACATCTTTAACACTTTCTTCAATGAAATATATTTAAAAATAAACCCAACTTTAATTCCACTGTGACACATTATTTTCAACAACCAGCTGGGGAGATGTGATAGTTCCTTTCTCACTGCTTAGTTCCTTAAAAAATACCACAGATGGCACCTAAATTGAAGACTCACAATAATATATATGCCACAGTCATGCAGAGAAGGGATAACAATGATCTTAGAGTTTTGATCTTAATAATAAAGACAATTTAGTTTACTAGTGAAATCAGAAAATAAAACTCCAGTAAGAGCTAAGAATTAAATCCAGGCCTTATTCAAATCAATGGCAAAACCTTATATCAGCTCTGCTGCACCCAGAAATCACTTTCAAAATTTAAGCAAAATACTTCAGCTTATTTTATTTAAAAAACATTTTCTGTTTGAGTCATTCCACCAAAACTTTGAAAACTAAGAAGTAATCTAAATGAAGATTAGAGGGAAAGGGGAGATAGTTTGTGAAAGTGTTTTGTTTCATTTTTAAATCATCTTTTATATCATGGGAAAGCAAACATCTGCATTAAGCCCACATGTACATAGGAAGTCCCACTGCAAAAGAAGCATTCTCCAAAAAAAAAAAAAAAAAAAAGACACAAAAAATCCTAGCTGCTTATTTATCAAAAGAAATTATACTATTAAAAAGAGTGAGCAAACCCCAGGCCTAGCCACCCAAGATGCTGATATAAAAAGGGCAACTGCAGTAATTGCCCTGAGAATTGGCATACAAAAAAAAAAAAAAAAAGGGGTCTGTAGAAAGCCTGTTGCCAGTTAGGTCATTCTGCAGCCATTCTCACACAACCTCCGAGAGTGTCCCAGAATAAAACTGAGCTTATAAATGAAACTAGATAAATGAGGCAATTAGATAAGGGCCTCCAGAAGGGATTTTATGTATGTGCTCAAGTTGTCTCTGTCTCTGTGTCTCTCTCTCTCCTAATCTTTTATTCCATTCATTTCTTCCTTTATTCGGAGATACTGCCTCTCTGTTCCCAACACATTGTACATTTCAAGCATTCTTTGAGGCTTTCCACTGTTAAAAGAGAACAAACATACCTGTTGCAAGAAACACAACTCTATTTCTGGTGTCTGCTAGTTTTAAAACCTCTGTTTTATTATTTTGGAACAGAAAACTTTCATTTTGCTCTTTTTAAATGCCACTGATCAGAAAGAAGGTATATTATTGGAATATAAGGAGACGGAAAGATGTTATGTAAAATCAGCTCCAAATTGTTTCACTGCATTTCAGAAAATCAGTAAACTCATTTTTCTAATGTGTCCAATAAGAAATATTAACTCAAACCCTCCCCCTGGGAATAAATTCTTCCTGTTAACAGTCAGGGACACAGATGCAAACCCTTTGTACCTTTAAATCCTCACAGGTTATTATATGTCATGCAATACGTGTATGTTAGTTATAACTAAGAGGACAAATTCTGTATCACCAACATGACACCTTCTGTTTATCTCCTCCTTTCATTCACTTCTCCACATTTGGCTTTGCAGCTTCTTCCTTTCTAGAACCACAGCAAACATCAATAACCCCTGGTTGCTGCAGGTGATGCTTATTATTTTTGAAACTGCCTGACAGACACGTGCAACGAAAAGGCTTCCCAGCAGGCTGAGGCTTTTATCTTTTGATCATTCCACAGAACTTTGTTATTTTATAGTGACTTCTAATACTGTGTCTTAGCTGGATATTTACAGTTCAGGAGTACCAGTCTCACACAGCTCAGGCTCAGGCTGAGAAGTTCAGGCACAGATAGACTGAAGCTGGGGGAAGGGAGAAATCACTTTGTCACTTAACAGTCACTGTGCTTGTCAGAAAGTTACCAATTTCAATTCAGTGATCAGATGCCTTAACTGAAAAGCATAATGATATTCCTGGGATTCTGAAATATTGCTTTTCAGTATACACTTCCTATAATTTGGGATCAGAAATTAGGACCTTTTCATGTAAAATTATGCAAAATTGAGATTCTGAAAATATGAACAAGTAATTTCACAGGTGTAAAGTCCCACTGTGATAAAAATGTAATGTAATTCTACTTGTATCCATGAAATAGGCATTTATAAGATTAGGTGTACATGGAAAACACAAGTTAGAGGACATCCTGTTCTGCTTATTTTTCCTTAATTAAGTAAATTCTTTAAAAGACATTAATGTGTTTTAATTTATAATCCTTTAATTTATCTGTGTATCAGTTTATTTAGGAATTATACCATTTTGATCTTCTTTGCAACTTAAAACATGATCCTCGTCTCAGGAAAAACAGACAAAAGGAAGCCAGGAAGCGAATAAAACTCACTAATATTTTGCAATTAAAAAAAAAATAACGTTCTCACCGAAAAGGCAACCAACACTTTAAATTTATTCCGATTCAAATTTGAAGAAAATTTATACCAATTAATCTAGGTTCTGGCTAAAAAAACCTGATAAATATTTCTGTAAATAGTTTCAGGACAAAATGTTTTAGAAACATTGAGAAAATACTGTTCTGCTGAAGAGTTTGTTGTTTTCAACAACAGAGTAATTCAGTGAAATAAGACACGTACTTTTGGGGCTACAGGTGTGAAACAGCAGAAGCCACCTGAAAGTTTAGTACAGGATTACTTTAATCTTTGAGGGCCTGACTCCAAGTCCATTGATGTCAACTGAAAATCTCCTATTGACTTCATTAGTTATAGGATTAAGTCTTTAAAAGATATCCACTTAGCTGGCAGAAGATCTTAACTTCAGACATCAGTGCACACATGACCTCTCTGTGGCTGCATCTCCAGTCATTAGCCCAATGTTTTCCAGAATAAGACTGCAGATTCAGCCCTGCAATAGTTCCCTCGGCTGTTTTGAGTCCAGTATTACACAGGATGATTTTGGCAGTATTAGGTGTGTTTTCAGACCTTTTTTTTCCTGTATATGTAGTAAGGATGGTGTAACATTTCGATCAAGACTATATCCTAATCCAAAAATGTTGTTGTCGCCCTTACTAGTAAGACTAGGGAGACTGAAAGTGGTGAGAGTCCTCAGTACTGACCTGCCAGGCCTAAGCAATAACGGGGTGGGACATGAGCAGACACTCCTTAGACGTGTCCTCCACGTGGGTTTGCTGCTTGCCTTTGTTCTCATTGATTTCAGTTACAACTCTGCACACAGAATTTATTGTGCTCTAATATGTTTTCGACATCCAAAAAATCTTAGCACAGCGATTAATCCTGCATGGATTTACACTGGGCAGACTGACTAATCAGACAGTATTTCTAATGCCATTGCTGGGAAAAGAGAAATGTTACTGTTTTATAGCACAAGTGGGTCAACTGACACATCCACCTTTTTCCTGCAGTTCACTCCTGAGTTATTAGTAATTGCTATTTGGTTTATATCCTGTTGTTCCATAACCCAAAGAAAACTCCCATAGGCTTCTGTAGGAAATTTTTCTTCACATTACACTGTACGGATTGGTTTGAAAGCCAAGCGACACACCTGCTTCCAGAGCTCTCAGTACTGAAAAGATGTCATCTGGAGAAGAGTTCTATTTCTACTGATAAAAAACAACTTTCCACCTGCTACAAGTTATCAATAGGGTCCAATGTATCATATAGTAAAGTTCCTCTTATGGTCTATGAGATTTTACTATTTATTGTCATTTTGCAATGAAAAGAGAAGTAAAAAAGTAAAAAATATTTTACGTGAAAAATTGCTTTAATTCCAAGGAAATTTCAGAAAGGAGGCACCAGCAAAATATTGTGAATATACACAGTGGTTGTGTTCACAATATTCTTGGAAAGAAGGTAGAGAGAGGTGGCTGTTTTGGAGATTTTTTTTTCTGTAGGATACATTTTACTGTAGGACAAAAGGGTGTTTTGCATCACAAGGCAGTAACAATCAATCCTGTTTTCTGAACATTCCTAGGAGGAGCTGCTAAAAAGAAAATGTTCTAGGCAGT